TATATGTAGACGATATACCCAGCATAGGTAGATATACGTAGAGGATACCCAGCACAGGTAGATATATGTAGACGGTACCCAGCATAGGTAGATATATGTAGAGATAGGTAGATATACGTAGACAGTACCCAGCAAAGGTAGATATATGTAGAGGATACCCAACATAGGTAGATATACGTAGACGGTACTCAGCATAGGTAGATATATGTAGACGATACCCAGCATAGGTAGATATACGTAGATGATACCCAGCATAGGTAGATATATGTAGAGGTTACCCAGCATAGGTAGATATACGTAGACAGTACCCAGCATAGGTAGATATATGTAGAGGATACCCAACATAGGTAGATATACGTAGAGATATACGTAGATGATACCCAGCATAATCAGCATATGTAGATATATGTAGACGATAACCAGCATAGGTAGATATATGTAGATGATACCCAGCATAGGTAGATGTATGTAGACGATATAATCAGCATAGGTAGTTATATGTAGAAGATAACCAGCATAGGAAGATATACGTAGACGGTACCCAGAATAGGTAGAGATACGTAGAGGTTACCCAGTAAAGGTAGATATATGTAGACGATATAATCAGCCTAGGTAGATATATGTAGACGATACCCAGCGTAGGTAGAGATATGTAGAGGATACCCAGCATAGGTAGATATACGTAGACGGTACTCAGCATAGGTAGATATATGTAGACGATATAATCAGCCTAGGTAGATATATGTAGACGATACCCAACATAGGCAGATATACGTAGACGATACCCAACATAGGTAGATATACGTAGAGATATACGTAGATGATACCCAGCATAATCAGCATATGTAGATATATGTAGACGATATAATCAGCCTAGGTAGATATATGTAGACGATACCCAGCACAGGTAGATATATGTAGACGATATAAGCAGCATAGGTAGATAATTGTAGACGATACCCAGCATAGGTAGAGATATGTAGAGGATAACCAGCATAGGTAGATATATGTAGAGATAGGTAGATATACGTAGACAGTACCCAGCAAAGGTAGATATATGTAGAGGATACCCAGCACACGTAGATATATGTAGAAGATACCCAGCATAGGTAGATATACGTAGATTATACCCAGCATAGGTAGATATATGTAGATGATACCCAGCGAAGGAAGAGATATGTAGAGGATAACCAGCATAGGGAGATATATGTAGACGGTCCCCAGCATAGGTAGATATATGTAGACGGTAACCAGCATATGTAGATATACGTAGAGGATCCCCAGCATAAGTAGATATATGTAGAGGATACACAGCACACGTAGATATATGTAGACGATACCCAGCATAGGTAGAAATACGTAGACGGTACCCAGCATAGGAAGATATACGTAGATGATACCCAGAATAGGTAGATATATGTAGAGGTTACACAGCATAGGTAGATATACGTAGACACGATACCCAGCATAGGTAGATATACATAGACGATACCAAACATAGGTAGATATAAGTAGACGATACCCAACATAGGTAGATATACGTAGAGATATACGTAGATGATACCCAGCATAATCAGCATATGTAGATATATGTAGACGATAACCAGCATAGGAAGATATACGTAGACGGTACCCATCATAGGTAGATATACGTAGACGGTACTCAGCATAGGTAGATATACGTAGATGATACCCAGAATAGGTAGATATATGTAGAGGATAACCAGCATAGGTAGATATACGTAGATATATGTAGACGATATAATCAGCTTAGGTAGATATATGTAGACGATAACCAGCATAGGTAGATATATGTAGACGAGATATATGTAGACGATACCCAGCATAGGTAGAAATACGTAGACGGTACCCAGCATAGGAAGATATACGTAGACGGTACCCAGAATAGGTAGAGATACGTAGAGGTTACCCAGTAAAGGTAGATATATGTAGACGATATAATCAGCCTAGGTAGATATATGTAGACGATACCCAACATAGGTAGATATACGTAGACGATACCAAACATAGGTAGATATATGTAGACGATACCCAACATAGGTAGATATACGTAGACGATACCCAACATAGGTAGATATACGTAGACGATAAGTCACACTTACACGAGCGGATTCAGACCTGAAAGGATGGAACGTACTGATTGCCATACTCAAACAACATTTCCGACCTATGTTTTAATGTCACAATCAAAATGACGTCTTGGTTGCAACGTCAAATTATAAAAATAATTACCTCTTGTGGTAAAACAAAACATCTAAAAAATGCCCAATAACCCTCATGACTTTATTATGATCAACATTCCAATTCTTTAAAGTCGTCTTCCTGGCTGCAATACCGTAGCAAACAACAATCAAAATAAGTAAAGCATGATCTGTCAGCATGCCTTTTTTAATTGGTTTTTGTTTCCGAAGCATAGTTTAAAGGACATAAAAAGTACAACTTTTTTCTATAATTGCAGAGGAAGGTGTTTGGAAATTCGCAAAATGGGCAATGCAATACCCACTTCGCTGTATGCTGTATTATACTGTACCCGATTGCCGTAAGGAAAGGTAAGCAACGTGTACCGTAGTTTTCAGGAGACCAGAATAGTACATCGAACTCAAACAGGCTGACTGGTTTTATATACTTTACATAAATACCGAAGCCAAAATTGGCAAGAAATCCAATGGGATATATTTCTAGTCACTCTGTGGAGCATGGGACCGCCAGATTATTGAGCTGTGCATTGTTTTGTTATTTTGTACAGTTGTTTCATGAGCATGTCTGTCGTATATGTATGTGTTTGTTGTAAATCGGACTACTAATTCATATGTTTATACTGTGGTTGTTTTAAATCGGCTCAAGGGATCACGTGTCTATCAATTTGTTGTTGATAGTTCACATGTCACGTGGTACCACTGGTTCATGTGTCTATTACATTTGTTATAAATAGGAAAACTGGTTCACGTTTTGATGCATTTGTTGGCGATGGGACCACTAGTTCACGTGTCTGTTACATTTGTTGTAGATGGGACCATTAGTTTACGTGTCTGTTACATTTGTTGTAGATGGGACCATTAGTTCACGTGTCTGTTACATTTGTTGTAGATGGGAGCACTAGTTCATGTGTCTGTTACATTTGTTGTAGATGGGACCATTAGTTCACGTGTCTGTTACATTTGTTGTAGATGGGACCACTAGTTCACGTGTCTGTTACATTTGTTGTATATGTGACCACTATTTCACGTGTCTGTTACATTTGTTGTTGATGGGACCACTAGTTCACGTGTCTGTTACATTTGTTGTAGATGGGACCACTAGTTCATGTGTCTGTTACATTTGTTGTAGATGGAACCACTAGTTCACGTGTCTGTTACATTTGTTGTGGATGGGACCACTAGGTCACGTGTCTTTTGCATTTGTTGTAGATGGAACCACTCGATCACGTGTCTGTTACATTTGTTATAAATGGGACCACTCGGTCACATGTCTGTTACATTTGTTATAAATGGGACCATTAGTTCACGTGTCTGTTACATTTGTTGTAGATGTGACCACTAGTTCACGTGTCTGTTACATTTGTTGTATATGTGACCACTATTTCACGTGTCTGTTACATTTGTTGTAGATGGGACCACTAGTTCACGTGTCTGTTACATTTGTTGTAGATGGGACCACTAGGTCACGTGTCTTTTACACACATATATACATTTGTTGTAGATTGAACCACTAGGTCACGTGTCTGTTACATTTGTTGTAGATGGGACCGCTGGTTTATGGCTACGTTTGTCATGTCAATAGTATGGATTGCCCTCTTCTCCTACATAATGGTGTGGATGGTAAGCTGTTTAACTACAAATCAAGTAGCCCCAACATATCTATTCACAGGTTTTATCAAAATAAATACCAAATACCAATATAAAGCTGTGACCGTTCTTTGTGAAAATCATAGTATGAATGTTTTCTTTGATCATCTACAAAATACGTTGATAGAAGTAGCAGAGGTAAACCCAATAGAGATCGTATTTCAACAATATTATTTAAAGTTTTTGAGATTGGGTGATGATAAAGTATCAAAGAACGAGTATTCTGAACGGAAACCATTCTGTGAGTTTAATTTTATTGAAACTTCACTTTCTGTGGTGACGGCAGAATTTAGATAATAAGTTTTTGTGATACTGCGCAAAATATTTGATCAGTTTTAATTTTGCCTGAATTATTTTGTTTATCACCAAAAACGGCCAAAATATCGTAGAAAACACAAACTAAATGAGTGTTGTCCCGGAGGATGATTTATGTGACAAGGGAGGTTACTCTAATACTTTTAGAACAGTTATCATACCTTCTTCATTTTGTCAGATAATATTAAAACTTACCCCAAAAATTAAAAGACATTAGTTAGTAAAATATTCTGAGGTTCTTATTTACGGCTTTATCAAAATTTGGTCGTCACAAAGCGGTTCACATATTATTATCCGTTAATTGTCCGTTAAGCAACCACCAATATCTTTCTCAACTCTCTGGGGAATATATCATTCACCGTATACTAGCTAGCTGTATTCACCTGCTGTTTATATTTCTCTAACTCAGTTGTTTTTATTAAGAATCTCATATTTTTAGGAGCTTAACAAAAAAAGGAACGTATTACCGAAAATGATAAGACATTTTTAGATTTATCAAATCAATGCTATCTCTGAGTTGCTACTTTGATTATTTAAATGTCATGCTTCAGTGGATCATTCATACAAAGTGTTTGAGGACGCTAATTTGGTTTAGTTGTTCGACTATTGTATCATCTCAAAAGAGCGCATAAAGATTATTCATTGTCTGTTTACTTTAAATGCCACAAAAAGGTGACCATCATTGGGTACACTCTCAGTATCCCTGACAGTGTCATGGGCATCACATTCCTGGCGGCCGGTACCAGTATCCCTGACGCTATGGCGAGTGTGTACGTTGCTAAACAAGGTGAGCAATCATTAATGTTTTATTTATTGAGCTTAATTAACACATTGTAAAAAGTAAGAAAGAAATCCTTTGCCTCCCAGAGCTGCGGGTTTCTTCTCCCAAGTACAGTTGTCTAGTATCAATGTCGCCGTTGAGTCTTTATCTATTGATGAGTTCCAATCCTTTAAGTAGATCCACCATCTTGTGAGTCACGGTCGGGAATATAGCAGGTTTTTTTTTATCGCATTATATTCAGATAAAACTTTTACTGGTAGTCTATCTGTCATAATGTCACTACTGATATATTGAAGAGTTCCCATTTTCAAACTGGTAGTCTGCCTTAATGTCACTGTTTGATCAACTGAAAAGTTCCAATACTGAAACTGATAATGCCACTGACTTATTGTCATCTGCACTCACTCTTTTGGTTAATTCCCATTGTTTAACTGACGTAGATTTTTTATTTGAAATACATCGCGATTAATATTGGCTTGTTAAATTGGATGCACATATTACTGCTTTTTACTTTGGATATCCTTTTATCAGGAATGGGAGATATGGCGGTCTCCAACCTGTTTGGTAGCAACGTATTTGACATTTTGCTGGGACTGTCCTTGCCGTGGTTCCTAAAGACAGGTGTAGCATATGCCGGAACTACGGTAAGTATTGCTACATAGCTCCAGATCTACATAAAGAACATCATGGATATATAAGCCCTATGGGAATAGAAAGATCTACATTAGGGATATATTAGCTCTATGAACAAATCTGCATACAATATATCTAACCTCTATGGGAAGATCAATATTAAGGATGTGTAAGCTCTATATGGAGATCTACATTTAGAATATCTTCAATCACGATTTGTAGTTATTATATTATCCTTGCATATCTGGGCATGACAAAGTATTTTTCTCTCATTTCTCTGGACAGAATAAGTTCAGAAATCATGAAACGGCTTTTGACTGTTTTCACAAAGTTAGGATTTTCCTCGAGCTTTTGGATAAAAACTCACTGCAAAGTGAGAATAAGCAGTGCCTTATTTCCTTCGCATCTTTCTTATTTATTCTAGTTTTAATATCTATTAGATTACAATTTCATAACGTTTGCAGTTTCTGCATCGCAACATCGGAATTTTCCGAAACTCCGTAACGACATTTTCTTTTTTTTCCATTTTAAGGTCACGTTCGTGAAATGGGATGCACGTTAAAATAGCACAGGGATGAAAAAAAACGCTATCTTAAAAAACTAATGTATAATGCTTTGCGTTTGATAGACCCCATTAGTCCTATCCTTAATGAGACACATTCAAATATATTTGCAGGAATCTTCAGTATTGAATAAGATAATCGAGGAGTATACACTTTTTCGCTTTTCGTAAATATTAAGCACGCTATCTACGGGTTATAGGTATGGATCGGCAATTACATTGCACACCTGCCGTTGAATTGACTAACAGATTACCAGCAATTGAAAAAAACAACTGGCGAAGGCATTCAAAACGGAACGTAACGTAACGTTACAAGAAAATATGTTTCTGGTAATGCTGCCCTCTGATTATTCAATTAGGTAAAAATAAAAAGGTTTTATTGTTACTAATAATATTTTATATTAAAATGCAAAAATAATCAAATATCTTTCTATCATTTCAGGTCCATATAAACAGTAATGGGATGCTTTACTCCATATTCCTTTTATTTCTCACAGTTTTAGTGACAGTAAGTATATCTTATTTTTATTATTATTCATAGTTGATCTATTGTATTTTTTTTATTTTTTCTCATTATGGCCATCATATGAAATATACGTTTATAATCGCAACATAATTATGTATAACACAACAAATAGATATATAATATTAAAACTGAAGGAATTTATGAGAAATGTATCCGTGCAAAATATGGAAAAAGTGGATACATTGCTAAGGAACGAATTCAAGGACAAGCATTGCATTTTGTAGTCTCTTCCCACAGTGACCGTTTTTAGGAAGAGAGTGTAAGGAAGATCAACTAGTGATAATTGCTTGTGTTAAGGCTAACGGGAGATAACTGCAATTGAGCTTGTGTCAATTTTGCATTCCAGCTATAGTAATCCAAAGTAGCATAATAAACTTGATAGCTAATCCTTTTATTTATACGTCTTATTTGTTTGTATTGTTTACCTATCGCAACAACCCAAGAATGTACATAATATAATTGTGTATATAGCGCAAACATTTATATTGCCGACCGAAAACAACAACTTCGTTCCTAGAACAACCTTTGGTACAGAGTTATGCTACTGATACACTGTCATTCACTTAATAGATTGTTTTCAAACATTAGCTTAATAAGGGAGTACTCAATGATGTTGTGTGTGTTTTGCAGATTGGGGTCCTAAAGTACACCGGATGGAGGCTGAACCGCTTCGTGGGAATAATATGCCTTATTGTATATGCTATATATGTATTATTCTCTGTGATGATCGAGTGCAATGTGTTCGGGTTTGTCAATCCCCCTATGTGTGTATGATGTGAATAACTTAGGTTTCATGTAATGGCCATAGCAGCCCGACCAGACGCATGCTGTAATGGTTCGGATCACCCCACAGAATGTCGTAGATGAGGTCATCGGGTCTTGGAATCATACCCGATAGAGATGTAAACGGTTATACATGAATGTACTTGATTGAAATCCGTTTTGTGAGATGTATAATCATGAAATAAAGAATAAAAGTGTGCAGAATTGCATGCGTATGTTTGCCAAAACGAATGTAGAGATGCATGGATGATGGGTTTCCAGTGAAACGGGTGTTTAGTTTTGCACTAGATACATGTATAAAAGCAAAGTTAGCCTGCTGGCACATGTGCCATTGCTCAACTCTTTTTGACTCTCTTTTTTATTCTTTAAATAAGTTTGTCAGACATTTGTACTTTTATTTCATTTCACTACGTTTAACTTGTTCGTTATATGTTTGTTCGTTTAACACATGACAAAAACCATGTTATAAAAATTATGTCTTATATGAAAGATATTTATGTATATTCTATATATCTCATCTAGACAAAGGAATTCATTTTAAAGTAATCATTTCATGCTCAATGACAGGAGGTTGACTACACTACATCTTTGTATCTACTGTAATTTTGAAATTGTACAGGGTAAGCTTCATACCATCGCTATAATGCATGGGCGAACATTTGACAGTTTAGGTATCCAATGTTTTACGTTGTCATACGTCTCGCCTAAATCTACTATAACCTCAGAGCTACATTGATCCTAAAGCTACTACGATCATAAAGCTGTTTAGATCTTAAAGATGCTATGATCTTTGTTTGGTTATGTCATCATGTTTGTCTCCCTTAGATCAGTATTTCTTATTCGGATGATGATTTAATAAAATACTATATAACACTATATACAGATATTTATAACTGTATGGTCTTTGTATATCATCGACCACATACATATTTTTGTGTTTATTATGATATGACAAACGCTACTTTATGTATTTGCCTTTCATATAAAAATGCCTAATATTGAAATCGGAAAAAGTAAGAGTGTCGCTCAGAAGGACCGTTCGGAATAAATTAATTGTGTCTATGTTTTATGTCAACACTAACAATAATCCGTAGCTATACTGTTTTGTGTAAGTAATAACACAAGTATCTGTAGTTTGTATGTAACATATGCAAGTTCTATTTCTATTTCTATTTCTCTAGAAATTTTCTTTTCGCCAATTCGAATTTCAATTGAGGAATTTAACACGACTTCAGGAAATAACAATTTGCGACGAATGATATCATACGTAGCTTAAACACATCAACAATACATTGCGTGTATGCTTTTTAAATTGGCATGTGTTTTATTAACAGAAATTTGTGTGTCATTGATAAAAGCAGTGCTTTATTAACACTAGTATGTATATATCTTTGATATATACTAATATTTGAATTCAGTAATAAAATGTTTCATTCCAGGTAATTAAGCAAGCTTATTGAAGGATAAAATATGTACTAATTTAATAACATCAAACTTATAACTGTTATAACTATAGTGTTGACTCAAGTTCTAACATATTTGCATTTGTTAGTTTTGGATGTTTTAGAATTATTTCCATTTGTGTAAACCTATATCAGGATTTCCCTAAGCATGAACTAGACGGTAGTATCACACACTTGAAACAAACCAATGTCACTGTACCGTACACCGCATAGAACTACAGTCTAATTGGCCTGTCTCGTAGCATCTGGTTTTGACGATTACTCATGAATATTCTATTTGTCTTTTAATATCAATCTGATACTCCGATTTAATTTATAATTCAATTTATCGACATTGTATTACTGTTGTCGGGTATTGTCGGGAAATTTAATTTAAATCCAATACAAAATATATACATACAACAGGTAAAAATACAACGTTTATTTAAAAGGACATCTGAACGAGACATGCTTAGAAGACGTTAAAGAAAAATGCACTTCTAAAGGAATACGATTGTTTCCTAAAACGAGAGTAATGAGATAGAGACAGTAATTATTTTTTCTTTCATATATAATCGAATAATCGCCGAAAAGCAAGCCCACAAAACAGGCTAGATAAACAAAAGTATACAGGTACTAGTCCAGAACAGGGGCATTTTGTTTTATTTCCTATGTGGCAAATTCACTACAAATTTAACACGCATTTGTATAGTTGCAATTATGGTAACATTAGGAAATATATTTGAATGTGTACGAACATTGGTAATTTATCTGCATCTATACCTCTATACTACTATTGCTATGCGGTCTATGACTTTTTACTGTAGAATTGATTATAATATTTCTCTGGTCCTTACATATTATCGTAGTATTTTGTAGAATACATTTGGGACAATATTTCCGGTTCTTCCTTACCGCTACAATCCACATAAGTTTTCCATATATTATAGACACACATTGCCTGAATATATTTGTTAAGATGTTATTATCATTGGTAGATGAGACTTTGCTGACTGTTATAAAATGATTCAAATTGAAAGTAGAAACTGAAGTACATTAAATAATATAACGTCAACACGAGATCACGTTGAGTTATTTTTCACTTGAATCTCTCATGCTGTGTTTGATTTGTCCCCATTTCTACGTCTTATAAGGGTTCTGTTTTTGCTACTTTAACATTTTATTTGTCTATTGTTTAAAAAAGAAAGAAATAGAAGGAAATAAATCTTTGACGCAAATCTGCACAACATCAATTTAAATTTTCATTTATTATTTTAACGATAACATCATCACACAGATTGCAATAAAACCTTTGATCACCCCTCTCACGGTCGGCGACTGCTGGTATTACACCAGGAAGAATCTGATCAGTTGAAAGGTTAGATACATTCGGATCATATGGTATTAATTGAATTATTATCAAGTATTCCATATGTGGTGTAAATTCAATACTCATTTGATCATTAATTATTTGAGGTACACAATTATGTTTTATATACTTTAAATGTATTTTGTTTTACAAAAAACTGTGTATTCACCATTTCCGCTCATAACCGTTGCTTATACTGATCGATAGGAGGCTGCCACCCAAGTTGACATGACCTAACTGTTACTGATGTTGTAGACGCTACCTAAATTGAGTTTGTAGGCGAAATGAATTGTCATATGTCATGAAATTCGATTTAAAGGAACTTACTCCTGCATTTTTAGAGGAATATTGATATCCTTCACATTGTGTAAATTATCGGTACTATATATATCCTTGATTACATATTCTAGAGTATGTGTGTATAACCATCTGAAAGTGATTAATAATGTCAGGAATACACAGCCAATAAGAGTTCTTGAATTTTTACTAATTCAATTGGTAACACTGATACTTATTTACATACGCTTTTAACAGTCTACATAACATGGATTCAAGTCTTCATATCACTGATAACAGACAACATATCACTGTTAACGGTATCCGTAATACCAAACCTTATCTACATAACACTGATACTAGTCAGCATAATACTGATACTTATCTACATAACACTGATACTTATCTACATATCATTGATACTTATCTACATAACACTGATACTTATCTACGTAACACTGATACTAGTCAACATAATACTGATACTTATCTACATAACATTGATACTTATCTACATACCAATGATAATTATCTACATAACACTGATACTTATCTAAATATCATTGATATTCATCTACATAACACTGATACTTATATACGTAACACTGATACTTATCTATATGACACTGATACTTATCTACATAACACTGATACCTATCTAAATATCATTGATATTCATCTACATAACACTGATACTTATCTTCGTAACACTGATACTTATCTACATGACACTGATACTTATCTACATAACACTGATACTTATCTACATAACACTGATACTTATCTACATAATACTGATACTTATATACGTAACACTGATACTTATCTACATGACACTGATACTTATCTACATAAGACTGATACTTATCTAAAAATCATTGATATTCATCTACATAACACTGATACTTATATACACAACACTGATACTTATCTACGTAACACTGATACTTATCTACATGACACTGATACTTATCTACATAACATTGCTACTTATCTAAATATCAATGATATTCATCTACATAACACTGATACTTATCTACATAACACTGATACCTATCTTCGTCACATTGATACTTATCTGCATATCCCTGATACTTATCTACGTTACATTGATATTTATCTACATAAAATTGCTACTTATTTACATATCATTGATATTCATCTACATAACACTGATACTTATCTACACATCATCGATACTTATCTACGTCACTTTGATATTTGTCTATATAACATTGATACTTATCTACATATCATTGATATTGCTCTACCTAACATTGATTCTTATCTACATAACATTGATACTTTTCCACATACAAACAGGAAAAACAATTCCGACGCAATAGGAAATCAAGGGAAACTTTTAAACTACCTACTTAAAATGTATATGACGAACTACCAGAAAACACATACAGCTATCGTTCTCCAGAAGAGAATTAGTCGTCTTCTTTTGTTGCATTATTAAAAACGATAAATATGAAACATATAAAGAATGCTCTAGTGTATTCAAGAGTTCTTCGAAATTCACATTCCATTAACTCAACATATGGATTATTCAGTATCACAATACAACTTTAAGTCTGATTTGATAGTACTATTTCTTAGTAAAGTTAGAAGTAAGACAATGTAATGTATGAACCAGTGATAAAACATTGTTGATGAGAAGTCATGAGAATATATATAATTCTTTCTTTTTTTTGCTTAACATTTTCTTCGTGTTGGTAGGTATGGATTAGGAAAAGTTCTCGTTACACAACCAATAACAGTTTCTATGTGACGTTTCGATGACCAGTACGGTATGTAGTCTGTCACCTTCACCAGACAAATGACCAGTGAAGCGTATGCACACAAAGGTGAAAAATGTGTACGAGTTGTCCACAAATCGATGTCGATCCGGCTACGCTGTCAGCGTATGTACAATAGTTGTTATACTCTGCCGCTTGAAAAGATTGCTCTCTCTGTCAAATACTTAGTGAATTTCCTCCCTTCTTGAGTTTCCGTATCTTTCCGGTGTTCACCAAGGTGGACCGAAAATCGCCTTCCAGGTTCTCAAAAATACGATGCGTCACAGTTTTTGTATCCGATTTTGCGTACGCATTCTGCAACGTTTTCTTTAGGTGTTTTATCCTTAAGATGCGCTAGGATATTCGAAGTGTCTTGTGGGGCTTCATGGCTGTTGTTACGCCCTGACAGCGATATATCCTCTGGATGGTTTCGGATATACCTTTTATATACGAAATGACCACTTGACCTAGTGTTTTGTTCTTATTAATAATTGCCCTTTTCTTGTTCTTCTCCTTTCGGGCCCATTCCGATAATGTACAGGTTCTCATTGCCCTAGCGATGTTATCCTGCTCTTGTATTTTATCCTGTTGTTCTGTGACTATCGTATCACATCTGTTGAGCAATGTGTGTACGACACCTAACTTCTGGTGCAAAGGATGGCAAGATTTAAAGCTCATGCATTGGGCCGTCTGGGTCTTTAATCTATAGACCAATACTTTCACGGTATCGTCTTCTTTCTTTACCAGTAGAGTGTCTAGGAAGGACATTACGCCGTTGGTGTCTTCCTCACATGTAAATTTGATGTTGCTAGTGGCATCTATGATATCAATATTGGTGGTCAAATCCTTCTGTAACCCCTTCTTGATTATCTCAAGTATGTCGTCAGAATATCGTTTCCATAAGCTAGGCTTTCTATAGTGACAGCGGCTATTGCTTTCTGCTCCAGATGTTCCATAAACAAATTGACCACAATGGGAGACACTGGTCTACTCATAGCAGTGTTGCTGATAGATGTTGTCTCGGAAACTAAAATATGTTGTTGTTAGCACAAATTCCAGCAAATCCATGGCGTCCTGAATTTGGAGGTTTGTGTTCTTGTGCCAGGAGCTGTCTTTTTATAAGCGTTTCCGATTGATTCTTAGTGCATCGTCACTAGGTGTGTTGGTAAAGAGAGAGACAATATCAAGAGAAATTAGTTCTTCGTCTTCCTGAATCATAACGGTAGACATAGCTTCCGCCAGATGTTTCGAGTTCTTGAAATGGTGTTCCGATTTACCCTCTAGCGGCCAAAGAATGTCTGCTAATGACCTGAAAACATTGTAACCAATTGACCCAGAGTAGTCCACAATAGGCCTAAGTTGGTTTCCCGCTTAGGAGTACGGTACATTCTAGGAGTGTGCTCTACTGTGGGATACAGTTATCTGTATTGGCATGCGGCAATCTTACTCTCTTGTTTGAATTTTGACAGGAAGGCTATGAGACGCCTTTTAAACGTTTTAGTTGGATTTCATATGTCTTGTTGTCCTGTAGTATTGTCATGACCTTGGCCTCATAATCGTCGGTGTCCATGACAACTGTTGCTTTCCCCTTGTCAGCTGATAATTTCATCATCGATTTGTCTGTGCCTAATGTGTGGAGTGCGATCCGTTCTTCTTTCGTCATATGACTTATTGGTAATTTCGTGGGTTTAAAAAAAAAAACGTCACCTGAGATCTCAGTTGATCAGCCTCAGCGTAGCTTAGTTTCTTACATACTTGTTTTGTGGCTATAACAAAATCATCAACTGGGATTTTATCTGGAACGATGGCATAGTTCATAACCTTAGCGAGTAACGTTTGCTCGCTTTATAATTCTGTGGCTTCTTCTCAGTTCCCCCACGTTTGAAAATAACATAGGAAGAAGAATGTGCTTGTGCTGCTTGTATGACATCTGATAAGATGAAATGTGTTATTTTAATTTGTAATGATTTTGAACTTTAAACATATTTTTAACAGTATGATATAAATAGTTATAAATTGAAACTTTTCTTTATTATTGTAACATTAAATAAGATGCCTAAATACCTAGTAAGGATGGTTATGTGTGACTAAGAGTGTGGTGTTTAACAGTTGATGATTAAACTTTAAAAAAAGAAATTCATCTACATACCTAGATGTTAGAAGCATATTATAACTATCATAAAAATCATTTAATATCTATAATCATCCAAGCCATCATTTCCATCCTGGTGGGTTAGAAGTGATCACGGCCTATGCTTATTACTGAGATAATTATGAGTTTTACTATTATGTAAGCACTCCTTGAGAACCGGACGGTGGGATTTATGGAGTACGCGAATGCAGCATCACATCTTTTACATCTGGGATAGATTACAACAGAAATGTGTGACGGGTTTTGTTTGTTGTTTTTTTTTTGCTTGACACATATTTTGTATTTCGGCATCATTTATTTGTCTTTAAATAATGAATAAAATTCCTACTGCCAATTGGAGGGTAAAACAATTCATAAATATCATTTAAAATTACGTTAGCTGTACTGTACACGTGAACAGGAATTTGATGACATAATTCCATACAAGATAAATCAATACGTTTGTTATCAAAATATCAATAAAATGTTCCATTGATTTGAAAAGTATCCATAACTTAATTAAGAAAAAATATCACATGCCTAAATGTAAATAAAAAAATGTGAATCTGAACGTGGATTCGAACTTGCACCGTTCACTTCTTCTGGTCAATAGTAAACCTCGTAACCCATCATACGATTTATTTTGGCATTTTACATCACGTAAT